GAGTATTGTGTGACACTTTCTTTTTTTCAAATAGGCTAAGTTATGTCTTATTTTGTAAGGCGGATATACTTAGGATATGACGTCACGAGTGAGTTATCTTGAGGTGAGCCGTGACGTCACCAACCCACCCCTCTATCTTATCCCTCCTCCTCCCCTTCGCTCCTTCCAACCGTTTCAAATAGTTGTGGCATGAATAATGGCGTTATCAGCTCTGAGAAAGAACACACCTTTCGGTGAGACAAAGATATTTTGTCCGTATCTCCCACGATGGCTGTTAAATGTTTCATTATCTCAATTTTGTCTTTTGTAGGATAATGATTGCTATAGATAATATCCGGCAGCGAATTGAAAATGTATCTACTCTTAATGGCGGCGCCCCTGAACTCTGTATCATTGCTAATGATACAGGCGACCGGATGGCATTTCGAGAGAGAGGGAGAAAGTGCGCCAATAGTCGCTGGTGATTAAGGCCTCTAATACTTAACTGCTGGTCCGTAGGCCTTGATTCATAACTGAGACTGCACTCGCAACACAGATTTTGCAACCGGTCTCGTGTAGAGTAATCTCGTGTCGTTAGCTTGCAAGGCCTCAATTCCTTCTGCGGTTAGTCGCCGAGGCAGGAACCCCATCCGCAAGCTGACGTAATACAGTTGTTAATAACTTTTTAGTCTTGAGATATTACCATGAGCTGGGATTCACTCCGCTGGCGCGCGCACGCACATCACGCGGAAAGTGAACCTGAAGAAGACGGCCAAACACACTCAGCAGGCGAGGGCACGTTGTGTGACTGCGCATGTAGTTTGTCTGTGCAGTATCCCCCAGCTCAGATCTTGTTTTGACATCACGAACAGGGAGAAAATAGATGGGTTGGCGGGCCGACAAGTGCAGACACACACGTAGATGCTTTGATATCAGACTTGGAGAATGGAATGAAAAATATAGTAGACAAGGTATTGAGCAATCGGGCCGGCGGGAAGCATGGAGGGAAAGTAGGAAAGAACGAGCTTTTCTCTCTCTCTCTTTAAGGAAATGAATGGTTATAGAGCCCGATGGAGAGACAGATATATTGGTAGATACGAAGTGTATTTTTATAGAGTGAGATGTTTCTAGACAGACAGATAGACACAGCCGCATTTTTAATAGATTTAAAGATACATTGACACATAAGTGGACAGATAGAAAAAGAGGTTTACCGAAAGGGGACAAAAAACAAGCACAGATGAATACCAGGATACAAATTCAGTAAAAGTGCACGAGTATGCATTTAGGGATGCAGCATGACACCTCAAGGTCAGCGGGGCGACGAGCCAAAATTCGAGGTGCATCTCCCTCCTTCCGACGAACGGTCTGGCGGTCGCGGTTCGTCTGGAGAGCGGAAGTTGAAGAAGCTCTCCGTGCCGGAGATCGCGAGCAACGCCTCTCTTGGTCACCGCCGGCGTGTCGGAAGGGCGTGCGCTCATTCCCGGAGGCACACTTCGCTGGCGGGTGATCGCTCCATGCTCTAAAAGACGCGTGGCTTTTAGGGACCGGGTTATTGGATGGCGGTCGAGAGGGCGGAGGGGAGGTAGAATGAGAGGGGAAGAGGGAGGGCGAAGGAGATATGGGAACGGGAGGTGGGGAGAGGGGTATGGAAGAAAAGTGGTAAAATGAGACGGGAAAGAGAGAGGGCGAAGAAGGTATGGGGACGAGAGGGGGAAGAGAGGTGAAAGGTGGTTAAATGATAAAGCAATAGAGAGGGGAAGAACACAGGTGTGTGGGAGAGAGTGGGAGAAGAGAGGCACAGAAGGGAATAGAATAAGAGGGAGATAAGCATGGGGGAGCAGAGGGGTATGGAAGAAAGGGTAGAAATTGTGAGAGAGTAAAAGAAAGGCAAAATAAAGGAATGGAGGAAAGAGATATGGAAAAATGGGTAGAGTAAACGAAAAGGAGGGAGGGAAGGAATTAGAATGGGATATGGAGATGAGGAAGTTTATGGGAGAAGAAAGGGAAGATATTAATACACTAGAGAGGGCACAAGGGAGAAGAAAATGGAGTTCCTGCATTGTAAGTGGGAGACAGAAGGAGAATCAAAAAGATGCTACATAAAGAAGGAATGATTAGAATATAAAGATAATTGATTTATGATGAAGATAGGATTCTGGGTCATTAAGAGAGGATAATAATGACAGAAAGCTTCTCTGACGTAAGAAATAATGTTGGAAGAGAAAGGGCATAAAAGATAATTACAGGAAGACTGTGACGGAATTCGTTCAGGTTTGTTTGTCATTTGAAAGTATCCATTTGCTTTGTGGAATATCAGGGAAAAGAATATTACCCATCTGACAATGTAGTTTTTATGTTTCTTTTTTTTTTATTGAATGGGTAAATTTGGTGGGAAAATTCTTCTTTTGGCCTTTGTTTTACCTTACCATATTTTCAGAGTTTTCAGGGATTCTCTGCTATGTGAAGATGTTAGTGGGTTTTATCTTCTATGATATTATAATGAAACTATTTTGGTCAAAGTGATACAGGTGTTACTTTGCATCCCTGTGACCTTGTGGTGTATTTGCATATATTTCCTACTCCTTTTTCTTAACATGAATTCTGACTCATGGTATGGAAATCTGAACATTTAGGTCTCACAATATGACAATGGATTGTAATTAGATTTAGCAGATTTAACAAATGATGTAATCAGATGTATATAATCTTATCTTTATGAATAGTTTTAGTTTTATAGTTTTATGAGACATATGGCAGGTACTTTTTACAACAAAGTAGAGTGGATTAGATAATCTTTGGAAAAGAAGCTGAGAGATATTTGAAAACCCTCCACTGGTTAGCTTTATGGGTAGTTTAGGGAAATAGTTCATTATAAATCTGTTTAAGGGCCTGTGTCCATACAGAAAGTGGAGACAGCCTTTTGTTAATTACCAATTCAAGAATTGCTAATGTAAGGAAAATTCATACTAATGCTAAGAAGTAATAAACTTGCACATATTACTTGCTAACTTTCCGTACTTGGTTGTAATTTTATGTTTTGATGTTTTCAGAGCTATTCCATCCCATGGGAACACAGCTGCATTAAAACTCACAGTATTTCACCGCAATGCCCTTGGTCTTGATGAATTTTTGGGGCAGATTGAGCTTCCCCTTAGTGAGTTTGACGTCTATGAAAGACCCAGGAATAGGTAAAGTTTTGAAATCATGAATTTTGCCTTTTTTTGCTTTGATACCAAGATTTGATTAGTCTGCGTAATTTATCTTTTCTTTTATTTTGCAATAAAAAAAAAAAAGGAACTAGATAAAACACAACTTCACATTATATAGAATTAGACTCATAATTATCCATTTTTTTCCATACTAGATGGCATCGTTTGAAAGGAAAACCAGAGAAGGACCGCAAAAAGGGAGAAAAAGAAAGAGGAGACCTGGAGGTTAAGGTGGCATTCACAGTAAAATCTGGATCGCTTCTGGATGTGTCCAATAAAACAAGTAAAAATAAATCCATAACATCTTTAAAGAATCTAGGTAAGTGCTAACTCTAGGTGTTTGTCATTCATTTAGTGTATGTCTGATGATGTATTGATGTTAATATGTAAATAGACAAGTTATTAATTTGATATATTTCACTCTTACAAGGAGTAACTTGTTTTTTCAAATTATTTGATAACAAAAAATGAAAAGTGATTCCTAATGTGTCTTTTGTTATTCCAGGTGGTAGCTTAATGAGTTTAGGCAGCAAAGAAAAAGCAAGCTTAAAGAATTTTGCCAAGTCAGTCAGTAAGTTTCAGTTGTGATCTTTGCAGTATGCATTTCATTTTATAGTACACTTAAGTAAATAGATATATGTAGAAAAGTATTATGTACTTGATTTTTAACATTCGCTAAATGGTTAGATATTATTTGTGCATTTTGTATTTTGGAAGTACAGATAGTCCCCTACTTAAGAACATTCTACTTATGAACGTTCCATACATACAAACAAAATTTTTTAAGTACTAAAGTCAAAAAAATTGTTTGAAAGATGCTAGCAAACTTCAAATTTCCCAGGTACGAATATAGTTCAAGAGTCTGGTACTGTATAAGGTATGTCGTACTTATTGGGATTTATTTAAAGGTATTCTTAATGTAAACAAAACTTTAAAACAATGGGGAAAAAGGTAATGGAGACCCGACTTTCGACATACAAACAAATCAACTTACAAACAGCCTCTCGGTCCCCATTATGTTATTAAGGTGGGGACTTACTGTACTTGATTTTTTACATTTGCTAAATGGTTAGATATTATTTGTGCATTTTGTATTTTGGAAGTATTCTTGCACAGATACTGAAAGGCTTATGTGGTGTGATATCATTACAGGTCATAAAATAGACAAGGTTGCACACAAGCCAGGCAAAAAGAAGAATCGCAAAGAGAGTCGAGACAACCAGGGCTTCCCCCAGGAGTTAATGCAGTCACGGCAACACGCAGGAGAAGCAGATCCGGGCGTTATATCCGATAGTGATGATGAAGGATTTGGGGTATGTAATTCATGCTGAGGGTATAAGTGTGCACTATAAGTCAAGGGAAGTACTATCTACCTTTTGCTGAAGAAAGTGTTCAGTAATGTATTTAAAGAATTTGCAAGTGTTTTGTGCTTTGTTTCTTGTTAGAAAATATAAGAAAATATATAATTTTTGATTATTTATGTATTGAAATGCTTATGAGTTTGTCTATTAAGTGTCTATGTTTTAATATGTTTTTCATATGCATTGCATTTTGTGCTGATAAAAAGTTTGGTGTGTGTGTGTATGTGTGTGTGTGTGTGTAAATTCAGTGACATGTAATTTGATGTTGACAGATGTGCCAACTTAACAGAAAAAATTGAAAACATCAGGAAAAAATATGTAAATAATGTTTATATTAACAGAGATTTATAAGAGAGAATGACTGTACCTGTATATTCATTTCTGCCATTATTATCTATAATAACTAGCTCCCATGTTTTTGGAAGGTTATTTATGATTCCATTATTTTGAATTTTCCTTGCAGTTTGATGAAGAAGTCACAGTTAACACTCGGTCCAGTAGCCCTTACAGCACCATATCCAGAGGTTCTTCTCTCCTCCAGGAGTCTCATGGTAGGTATTGCTGAGTAAAATAAAAAAAATTTTGTTGTTAATTATTAAAAAAAAAGAAAAAAGAAAAAGAGAAAAAACTGATTTTAGATTTTGTAAAAAAAAAAAAATGTAACAAGAATTGGCCATTTCAATGCCATTTATTATTATATAATGAAGGAAGGTCTTCCTCTCATGTACTGTAACCATAGTTCTTTATGTATTATCTATTTGAAAATCTATTATACCATTTGTAGATTTCCCCTGAAAACAGTGAACACTGGGGCCTCTTCATTGCTTTCAATTTGCTTGTGACTAGATCCTAATATCAAGATTGTATTGGTTACCATTGTATGTGTGATACTTCTTCTGTTTAAAGCATTCCTTGTCTTGCAGAGGATGAAGCCCTGCGCCATAACAGCCACAACCTGTCCATCCCAGAAACCAGACCTCCTCCAAAGCCAGCTCGTCTTGGAGGTAAGTCCCTGTTTACTCCTTGCTTGATATCTGTCATTCTTTTTTCCAGGAATATTTTGTTCATGTGCTCTCTTTTTTTTAGAGAGAGAGATCCTTGTAAGATAAAAATAGAGTAATTTGGACTTTGATGGTACATTTTTATTAGAATGACATTGGATTGTTATAATTTCAGTTATGAACCCTACGAAACCAATTTTTCATATAAAATGAATTGGCAATTGTATTTTTCATATTCTGTTTTAGTTTCTGGTGAAGAAATTTCTTGTTTTTGTATAGATGTGTTTGTTTTGTGCTGTGTATATTATCTATGCTTATGTATATCTAACATGTACTGTATTTAGCTTTAAACCATAGGTGACAACTATTATGAGTAGTGCCATGTGTATATGTCAAATGTCTCAATAATGTACCATAGATGGATATATGTGTCTGTGTAGTACTGCTCTCTTAAAGCTTATTTGTGGCTGCTCTTTTGTTTAGATGATGGTTCCTGTATTCCAGTATTATGGTTTTAGTCATGTTATCTCACTGGCATAATAAACAGAAATGTGAATGCTGATTGTCCATGTTGTCTTGTTAACTTGAAATACTCCATTCCATTCTTGTTAGGATGTCCTGTGACAAATGGTAAACTAATTCAACACAGCTTCATATATTTGTTGAGTTAATTTTGAGGGCAGCTAAGTAACATATTAAGGGTGGCTAAATAACAGGACAAACCACTTTTGACTGGACTGTAAATACTGCATGTATATACAGCATATATCTTTATATTATCATACTATAAGTTCCTTAACAGAAAGGCAAGTGAATAAAGGTAAAGAAAGCCTTGTGAGGGGTCTGTTTTATCTTGCTATCTTGGGAGATGAAAATGATTGAGTATAATTAACCTTTGTAACACTATGTTTATACTTTCTAGGACACATTAATAACATTATTTCTTATGGTGTTAGAGCATATTAACCCATTGGTGCTGGGTACATATACTGTCCTCTGTAGTTTTGTTTTGTAAATATGTTTACACAAATGATTTGGTTATCAGGCCTATTTGACTTGTTTATCCCAGTCCTTGAATTTTTAGTGAAAAAGGTTTTACTTCTATTATTATTGTTATTATTATTATTATTATTATTATTATTATTATTATTATTATAATTGTTGTTATTATGATTATTATAATTAGGATGATGATGATGATTTTTATTGTTGTTAAAACTCATGACATTATTATTATGAAGATATTAGCTATACTGATTATTTTAAAGATATTATCAATACTAATTATTATGAAGATATTACCAGTACTAATTGTGATAAAGATAGAAACCTTTCTTTTTGTAAATTAAAGGAAATTAGAGTAAGCAGATGGGATCAAGCAGGCCTAGTAATGACCTAGATGACTAAGGATGGTGTTTAAACAAAAATGATTAACTAAAGTCACAGTGGACAGTAGACCCATCAGATAGGTTGCCTATGTTTTCCGAATGATGTTTAAATGGATACAGGTTTTTAGAAGAGTTAGATCTTAGGACAGTGATCATTTAGGCAGTGGTTTAACTGCCCATATATGGGTCTGAGACCTGACTCAAATTTGGGATTAAAATTGGCTTGTCTGGTGAGCCAGAGGATTCTTTGCCCAGACCCTGCTCGGTGTTTCACACACAGTGATGGTCTTTAGTCTGTTATCATCTCAGTATTTTCTTAAGTATTACAAGAAAGTTCCAATACCATTAAAGATGTTTTGAAGCCAGCCTAGATATGCCAAATCCAGGGGCATATCACAGTTATGTTACCAAAATGGGAGACAAAGTAGCTAGAGGTGGCTCTGGGACCAGGGTTGTGTTTTGCTAATGGAACCTTGGGTTAACCCAATCGCCACGTATGGCAAGAATACATGCCCAGTGTAATACTAGTTTATTTATTGTATTTACACATAGATGGCTC